GAAACATGCTGGCGTAAACGCGGCGTGTCGCTGGTGAGCGGGATGATTGGCAGTATCGCGTGGTAGGATTGCTTCTAGTGTGCTCTGTACATTTACATCGTCACACGCTCACATCCGCAGATCTACCTCTCTACCTCCACGCACCCACACATCTGCACATCTATATCACATCTGTACATCCCCACTGTCACTCCTTCACATCCGCCCTCTCTTTCTTTTCTTTTCTTTTCTTTTCTTTTCCTTTCTTGTCCTTTCTTTTCGTTCCTTTTCCTTTCTTTTCCTTTCTTTTCCTTTCTTTTCTTTTTTCTTTCTTTCTACATGTCCTTTCTCTCGCCTGCGTAGATTTACATCTTGGCACGCTCGCATCTGCAGATCTACCTCTCCACCTCCACACATCTGTACATCTACCTCGCACCTGCACATCCACAATGTCACTCCTTCACGTCCGCCCTCTCTTTCCCTCCTTCTATATATCTTTTCTTTATATTTTAAGTTTAATTTCTTCGCAACTTCGTACTCAATAACAGATTGTATAAAGAAGTCATGGCTCTTGGAAAACTCTCGATTTTTATTGTTTCATTACTCGACAGTGCTGAACAATCACCTGTCTCGCTCTCGGGCCAACCGTCGTCTAGTTTGTTTTTCCTCTTCTGTAGGTTTCTGTAGGGGGTTTGCCTCTTTCACTTTACAGGCAGCGTTTGTTCGCGTGTGTACGTGTAGATTGCGCACAGAAACAATGTTTGCTTGGTAGGCGCCTTGCAGCGCAATTGTTGTCTCTGTCAAATTGTATTCAAGTGAGATGGGTTCTCGCGTACAGTATGGTTGTGATGGGCTCCATTCAGTCAGTAAATGGGGCGTTTCCATGGTATAAGATGTTGCTTTATCTTGCAGTATCCACTTTGTGTCTTGTTCTTCCCAGCAGTCTTTCATATCTTCTACTTCCATAGGAGTTGGGATGTAGGCCGGTGTTGGCTGAATATTTTCTCCCAATGCCGCCTGTCTGGTTGCTTGTAAGTAGCTCTGGGTCTGTCTGGTTATAGCGTCGCTGATTGAGTGTGTCAGTACTCTTCCCTGGCTGGTGTGGATGTGTGTGTGTTTTGCGACCTATTATGTATGTAGCTGGTGTCATATGTAGTGCTAAAACTCTTTGTGAGTTTTGCAATTGGTTGGTGAACTTGACAACTATGTTCCGTATCTTGCAAATGGCAGTCTTGAATTTTGTAGCGCTGAATGATCATGTGGGCAGCGGGAAACATCAAACTCCCACTAGGAAGGTTTCCTCAATCCATTGTTTACCAACCGATGCATTTGTTGCCAACTGGTGTGTAGAGCCTTCGGTACGTAGTGAATACAATTGTTTGTAGATGTCAAACCCCATTGCATTTGTAGGTATTGATCTTTCTCTTCGTTTGTAGAAATTGGGCTCTAAAATTGTGCCTGCTGCTTTTAGCTTTGTGTGATCTCTGTTTGTAGGCAGCCCATGCACAAGTACAGTAAGTCTTGAGACGTTGACTCCACTCATCCCACCAGCCTCGCGACGTTTGCGTTTTTGGCCGGTGTCTCACTTGCAGCGCTAGCCGCTGCTCCTGCTCATGTGCACATCCGAATTGTAGTACTGTTTGCTTGTTCTGGCTTGTAGTGCATGGTAGCTGGTGTGCAGTGGTGCATACTTTGAGCCGAAGCTTTTTCTATCATGTCATGTTATACTAAGCAGTAGACATATTTGACCACTTTGCTTCTGAAGCCAGCGTGTGTAGTTAGGGTTCTGTCAGTATAACTGCAACGTGGCGCTGGCACCTCTTCTGGAGGCCTTGTGTTGAGTTCTTGAGTGTGTAAAGGGACCCATGAAACCTGGGACTCCCCTCTTCTCCTCTCTCCTCTCACTCCACTCACATACCATTCTGTTCTCATCACCTCTCATTCTGCCGTTGCCTTGTTCAGCCTGCTCACCCCCTTTGGAACCCCCCCGCAAGAATTATGGAAGGGTCCGTGAGGGGCAAGACTCGTCCACAAGGTCGAGACCAATTCACTTCTCGTCTCCACCTCTTGACCCACCTCGCTTCCCCGCGCCTGACCTACCAGTAATCAATTCATATTGAGTACCATCTCGACTCATATACTGTAAACTGCTGGATTTTCCCCAGGTGCTGTTTGTGCGTCCCTGCGCTGTTGAATTCATTTGAACTCTGGACGCTGGTTCATGTGTCACTCAATTTATTTATCTTGCGCAGGAGGACCTTTGTGGCAGCGCCAGTGGTCATAGGACCAAGAGCAATGGGCCTGTTTGAGACGCAGAAGGAGGCCCATAACAGTTGCCCAGTGCCCACAGAGACACAAATGGAACGTGGCAGAGACAGCCCTGGCATTGCGCATGACCCTGTTAAGCTCCGGCTGATCTGGCCCGTTCGAAGTTCGAGCATGTACAGTGTACAGCTTGTTCTTGCAATATGGTAATGGTGGGATCTTCGTGCTCTTCATGGTTGCACAGGCTCTCCCACAGGCAGTGATTCAAGAGTTGGCAGTTCAAACGGATGCCTTAGTCTCAAACATCAGGGTGATGCAGCATGCACCTCGCAGGAGAACTCAAAGAAAAAAGGCTGCAAAGTATGATGTGTGCGCCGCACGCACACACACTTGAGATACTGATTTGGTTGCGGTTTGCCACACGCCAGCCTAAGTGAAAAACCTAAGAAACCAGGGTGCGTACGCCGAGGTGACTCGCCGCTGCATTAGACGCTTACTGCACAACTAAGAATGAGACAGTTTTGCACTTACGTAGGTTCATCTCAAAGCAGGTACGTCGCGGTGATCAGCCGTGATATCCGCATGTACTGTGGCCGCTTCGTTGGACCATCGCTCGCAGCACATGGGTGGTCCCCCTGCTACAAACGCTACCAAAGCCAAATTCGAGAACAATCCAAAAGGATCCCTGTGATTGAATGAAGACATGACAAGAGGACAGGACGGGACAAAGGTGTATGTGGTTGCGATGAAAAGGGAACCAAGTGCACAGGGACAAATGATGAAAACCCACCTCATTGTAAAGACCAGGGCGAGAAACCTGGGTTGAAGGTAGGTTGCGCGCGTGCACACTAAGGGCGGGGCCAATGTGTGCACAAAAGAAAGAAGGAATGAAATGCCAAGACATGAAGACAGGAGGACATGAAAGAAAAGAGGAAAACAAAAGTGTGCGAAGGGAAAAAGGATGAAAGGGAACCAAATGGAGGGGACGAGAACCGATGAAGCCAGACCGCATTAGAAAAACCTAGGCAAACAACGCGTCATTTAAGTGTAAGTATACGCTGTGTGTGTGTGTGCACCTAAGAGGGCGACAGGTTCCACTGAACCTTGAAGAAGCTTTGGTCGCTGCGACCACGTGGTGGCGTGCCCGAAGGCTGCCTACTACTGACCGCTGTGGTCACCTCATGGCGTGTCCGAAGACTGCCTACTTGGAATTCAATAATCCATCAGGTCTTGGCAAATGACTTTGGCACAAGCCTACTCCGCCCGCTCTGGGCACGTGCGTTTCCAAAGCAAGGGAAACAACGACAAACCCCCGTTCAACGGGTTTAGAGGGGGCACTCTGCGGGCTCACCTTGGGCCGGCGTGAAGCCAGACACACTTGAGATTTTGCGTACTGATTTGGTTGCGGCTTGCCACACGCCAGCCTAAGTGAAAAGCCTAAGAAACCAGGGGGCGTACGCCGAGGTGACTCCCCGCTGCATTAGACGCTCACTGCACAGCAAAGAATGAGACAGCTTTGCACATACGTAGGTTCATCTCAAAGCAGGTGCGTCACGGTGATCAGCCGTGATATCCACATGTACCGTGGCCGCTTCGTTGGACCATCGCTCGCAGCACATGGATGGTCCCCCTGCTATAAATGCTACCAAAGCCAAATTCGAGAACAATCCAAAAGGATGCCAGTGATTCCAAGGGACACACACTCATGGATATGCGTACTGACTTGATAGCGGTGCCACACGCCGGCCTAGGGTTCCAATTCCTAAGGGTACAGGTAAAGAAACCTAAAAGGAAGTGGAGGTCCATCAAGTTCAGCGAGGCCATCAATGCTAGAGGAACCACCGGACGATCGATCGACAGAATGACGGCGTACGCTCACATCTGCAGCGCAAGAAAACATCAAAGTTTCTGCGAGGTTCTTGGCTTAGCCTCACGCCATGCAGAAAATAGGAAAATTCGCAGGTACGCAGTTGGACGTCCCCAACTGTATCACAGGTGACTGATGAGTGTCTTTGTTAGCACCGGTCTCATCAGCACCCCCGGTGCCCCCTGCTGTGGAAAAAAGCTGAGCAAATCCAAAAGGATCCCTATGACTCCAAGGGTTACACACACACGCCTCCCTGAGGGGAGGCAAAATTAAGGCTAGGACGATTGCGCAAATGTGCGCGCAGAAAGGACAAAAGGATGAAGACATGAAAAGGAAGACAGACAGGACAAAAGTGTGGGTGGTGGCAATGAAAGGGAAACCAAGTGCACAGGGACAACCAATGAGCCCACCTCATTGTCGAGACCTGGGCGACCTAACACCTGAGTAGTAGATGTGCGCGTACACACTAAGGCCCGGACCATTGTACGCGCAAAAGAACGAAAGGAGTGAGATGAACGGACATGAAGCAAGGGAAGACATGAAAAGAAAGAGGAAAAGAAGTGTGTGTGAAGGGGAAAAGGTGAAAGGGGAACCAAATGGAGGGGACGGGAACCGATGAAACCAAACCTCATTACAACAACCTAGGAAGACCTGCCTCGTTGAAGTGTGTACGATGTATGTGCACCTAAGTGTCCAACAGGTTCCAATGAACCTTAAAATACTTTGACCGCTGTGGTCACCTTGTGCCTTGCCGAAACGGCTGGCTGCTTTGACCGCTGCGGTCACGTAAAGGCATAGGCCAACTTGGAGTTCCAAAGATGAGACAAAGATCATCGTACGTACGGCCTAGGCCACCTGCTGTCCGCTCCGGACACCTACCTCTCCAAAGCAAGGAAGAGAAAGACGTACACCCGGTCGACGGGTCCACGGGAGGCACTCTGCGGGCTCATCCCGGGTTGGCGCGAAGCCAAACACACTCATGGATATGCGTACTGACTTGATAGCGGCGCCACACGCCGGCCTAGGGTTCCAATTCCTAAGGGTACAGGTAAAGAAACCTAAAAGGAAGTGGAGGTCCATCAAGTTCAGCGAGGCCATCAATGCTAGAGGAACCACCGGACGATCGATCGACAGAATGACGGCGTACGCTCACATCTGCAGTGCAAGAAAACATCAAAGTTTCTGCGAGGTTCTTGGCTTAGCCTCACGCCATGCAGAAAATAGGAAAATTCGCAGCTACGCAGTTGGACGTCTCCAACTGTATCACAGGTGACTGATGAGTGTCTTTGTTAGCACCGGTCTCATCAGCACCCCCGGTGCCCCCTGCTGTGGAAAAAAGCTGAGCAAATCCAAAAGGATCCCTATGATTCCAAGAGTTACACACACACACAAACGCGCATGTGAACAACAATGCTCTCATGTGCAACGTGTGCCATTTTGATCCAGGCTTCGATCATATGTCCATGCTGTGTCGCAAATGCACCCAATTTCCTCAAGCAACATGCCCATAATTTTCGGATCAGAGAGAACTTTCTCTTTTTTTCAGAATGCGAGTTTTATGCTTGGTCCTTCCGCTAGTTGCAGGTGCCGGGTCGAATCGCTTCCGAACGCGTCCTTGATGCCCTCATTTAGGTTGAGGGCAGAGCTTCAGTCTGCTTCTGTCAGTACGGGTTTGTGATTATTATGGTGTTCACTGCTGGTTCTTCAATCACGAAGAGTGCGTCTTGGTTGCCAATTTTCTCCAAGAATCATTGCTTAAGTCTTTATGTTCTTCAGAAATCTGCCAAATGCTCCAACTACTGCATCGCAGGTCATGAAGGAAGTATGGAAGAGGTGTTGGCTAGAGGCCCCAGAAACGCAGACTCACCTCAAAGGTAGAGAAGTACTTTGGCAGCCTGGTGAGGCCTTCCTCAAATGTGCGCAAAGCTACACTGCATGTTTAAGCAGGAGAGTTGCAAAAGAGGGCCATATGAGCACACAACACATGTTCGGAAAGTTCAAAGTTTCGATCCTTGAAGTGTGGCCATCATACCGGGCGTCACGTTGTGCCAGCGCAACATAAGGCAGTGATGAGACAGATGGAGAGCATTCCGGAGCGAGTTACCCTGCAAAATCTCGCGCTTGAATTCAGTTCAGTCAAATCATTAGTGCGGGCGCTTCTTCAAGGAAGCTTCCCCCGCCGCCTTTAGGGCGGTGGGGGGAGCTTCCTGGAACAAGCGTCCATACTAGTAGGTTAAGTAAGATGCTAGCGACTACCTAGCTTCTACCAGCTACCCACCTCTACCTACTACCTCCTTCCTCCTCGACTCACCCTACCCCCCTTTAAGAAAACCTATATATATTTTCTGCATATTATTATGCCCTTTCCTGTCAGGATCCTCCACTCACATTGAGCCAGATTCCCGAGGAGTAGACCAAAATGCGTTTTTCACACAGGTTTTTGGTGCCGAATCTTTTTTTCCTTCAAGCAGTTTGTGGCAAATACACGAACTCAGTAGTGTTTGAAGAGGTTCAACTTGCGCTTTGCTTTTGATTATCTTTTCTATTGTGGCTGTTCCAAAATATTGCGAAAGCCAGCCAATAGGCTAGGCTTGAACTTTTAGAGCGAACGAAGTGAGTTAAGGGCGTGTGGGGGGGGTGGTCGTTGAGAGGAACCTTTTGAGAGGGTGAACCCAGAGCTTGGTAGGGAGAGCGCTCCAAAGCGAGGGTCAGAAAAGCGCAGATAGATAGATAGATAGATAGAGATAGAGAAATCGAGAGACAGATAGATAGATAGATAGATGGATAAATTCTATATACTACTGACTCATGACGTCGCCCTGTTTGCTGGCAGCCCTGGCCGAATCCAGTCAGCCTGAGTCCACGGCCCAAAGATCTACACGCGCGGGTGCCAAAGTCAAGGCCTCTGAGTGAGAAAGGTTGATAAGAAGAAAAATAGAGAATGTGTTTGGATCGTTTAAGAAAGGCCCCTTTAAAGGAAAAAGATTGTGTTTTGGATCGAGCCAGAACATGACCCGCTCAAGTCCAGGCATGTGCATCGATAGGCACACAAATCCTCACTCCTGCGCTAGCCCAAGCTACTCCCGCTAAACCTTCCCTTCTGCGCAGCGGGATCAAACGTCCGCGCGCCGGCTAAGACGTGCCCGTTCACTCTCCCAAATCAACGAATGCTGCTTTTCGACGCGCCGCAGTATGCGTTGCAAACTTCAAACACGCCAAATGTAATAAAACACATAACTGCTTTTTTTCAAACGCAGGCCGTACTCGCGCGCGGCCCGCACGGTTGCGCGCGCGCGACGACGCTGACTATGGAGGAGGTCTTCGCGCACGCGCGCGCGCGCCTTGTATCCCACCACTGGAAGTATCCCACTGGAACTCACACGGCATTTCCCCCTCGCTAACGCTGATGTCGCCTTCCAGCTTCCATAAGACGCATACCTTCCTGCGTGTGACAAAAAAAGCCATTGCCTTGTGATGATGACCTACACCAACATACAACGTATCGCATTTCTCTTTCACTACTTCTTTCCTTCATACCACACTTATCCCAAAGCCGCCCGGCTTGCTTCTCTGCCCCCTCCATCGCCATTACATACGCCCGCCCGCATCCGCGGCGCCGCTGACTCGCAAGCTGCCGACCATGTGTCTTGCGCCGCGACGCCCGCCAGAAAAAGAGACACTCGGCTGCTGGCTTTTGCCCCCCCTCTTCAGGTATATATATATATTTACAGGTCTGTACTTTCATTGGCCAATTGTTTTGAGGAGCGGCGATGCCTTCTTTGTCACACCATCGCCAAAGGTTGGGCCAGAGCTTTGGAGTCCAAAGTTGCTAGTTGAGGTCTCAGAGCAGACATGGAAGAAAAAACATACAGTTTTGTATGCCACTGGTGTTTTCTTCAGAACTGCTATGATGACATGAGAGTGAGAGTGCTGCTTTTCCAGGTTTGCCGACTAGGCAATTGCACGAGGTTGGCTGCCGATTGTTGGTAGATAAACCTGGAACTTAGACTTTTCTGGTGGCTCGCTCCCAGACATTATTGATGTTTTGAAGCGAGCCACCAGAAAAAGTCTAAGTTCCAGGTGAATCATGGTGCAAGGTCTCAGTGAAGCCTTGCTTGGGCTGGGCCTTACACAATAGTCAGTCAGATTTGATGTTGCATCTTGAACAAAACCAGATGGTGTTCAGATCCCGATTCCAGGAGGAGTTCATTGACGTGTTGGAAACTATATGCATCAACAACAGTGTGAAGGAGCCATGCGGACTTGTTCCTGTGCAACAGCCATCGCACTCACATGAGTGATATTGCGCGTGGGGCATGGTCAGTAAACGCCGTATGCGCTGCAAAAAAAAACGTTTTTTGGTTCACATTCTGCCAGCGCATCCCGCCGACAACATGTGACAGGCATTGGCTTTTGGCCAGCTTTATGTCCAAGGATTATGTAGAAGGGAGTGAGTTGGAAGAGGTTGATGAGGTTGAGAAACCCATCCGAATAAGAGCACCGGAGGGTCCCACTCCGGTTGAGATCGAGGAGCACAAGGCGACAGGCCATGTGCAGTATAGGAGTTGATGCCGGCATTGCATTGCGAGCAGAAGGCCAAGAGCCTACTGCCAGAGGACACAGTCCCTAGCGGCGACCTTCATGGACTCGAAGGGGCCGCACCGTGCAACCAAGTTCCTTGCAAACTTCTTGACGAATCTTGGGCACAGGAAAGTTGCACTCAAGTCGGATGGAGCACCATCCATACTGGCCCTGAAGGAGGCCGCAGCGAAGAAGACCAACATGGAACGGGTCTCTGAGGAACCGCCAGTGGCTGACCACCAAGCAAACGGACTGGCAGAGAATGCCTGTAAAGAGGTGAAGCGCCAAGTGCGAGTGCTCAGGAGCGCTTTGGAGGAGAAGCTCATGAAGGAGCTGAAGGATGATGATCCTGCGTTCGCATGGCTGCCAAGACAGGCAGGAGACTTGTTGAGCCGGTGCAAGAAAGTTGTGGTCAAAGGACCTATGGACCCATGTGCACATGGCAAATGATGGCAACAGACGAGAGAGGACTCCAAGGTACAGGGTATGTCCGGAAGGAGGTTGGATGGATGACCAATGATGAAAATGGCACGAACCTTGGAAGGTGTTTGCTCGAATCAGACACGCAAAGGACCATGGCACAGGCACATCCACTTGATCGGAGGAATCGCAAGACAGCAGCGGTTTACCCACTGGCGACACCTTGACAGAGAAAAGCGGGCTGAACGCCTTTGACATGTTCGCAGCAGGACCACTACCAGAGACACCGTTTGCGCGTCCAGAGTTCGAACAGATCTACATGGACGATGTGAACGGTGGTTTCTTACCAGCAGAGAAAGTGCGAGAACCAAGACGCCTTGAGATGGACTACTTGAAAGTCAAGTGTGGTGTCTATGTGACAAGGCCAAGAACAGAGTGCTTTGAAGAGACGTGGAAGCCCCCGATACCGGTGAAGTTAGACACAACAAGGGTGACCCAACAAACCCGAACTACAGGAGCAGACTGGTAGCGCGTGAGATCAAAGCTCGAAAGACCAAGGAAGAGCAGTTGCCAGCAAACTTGCTTTTTAGCAGCGCGCCACCTTTGGAGGCGATGGCTCGTTGTGGGCAACGAAGAGAAAGTCTCGCCGCAACCAGAAGCTGAAGCTGGGTTTGTGGGACATCTCAAGAGCCCACTTCTATGGAACGCCAAAGAGAAAGGTTTACATAGAATTGCCTAATCAAGACGAAGTGGACTTCTTGTGAAGTCTATCTACGGCACGCAAGGCGCCCCGAACATCTGACAGACGCATTACCAGAAACCTTGCAAAACGCCGGGTTCCGTAGAGGAGCCTCGGTTGCATCAGCGTTCTTTCATGAGGACTGGGACGTCCGGGTGATGGTTCATGGTGAGGACTTCCCAGCGTTGCGAGATGAAACAAATCACCTGGACAAGCTTGGAAGGTTCTCAGTGAAGCAGTGAAGAATATGAGCTGAAGTGTTTCGGTATTCTCGGAGATATATACTCCGCTTGTACAGTTCTGACTAAGGACTTCGTGTATGTTCTGGCTCAGGGTGAAAAGGGCGCTCCGTAGCGTCCATTTTGCGCTTTGATAGTATATACTTGTTTCTTGTGTTTCATCAAGGCGTTAATGGGACATGTCCTGCGAACAACTTCTTCGCTTTCAAAGGTTTTTGGTTAAGCGTCTTCCGGTTTGAAACGAGCCTGTGTTGACCTGGCAAACACATCAAACCCTCATGAGTGCTGGCACATTTGCCAGTTGTGCGGCTGCAGTAGTAGATGCGTTTGTGGATCGAGCCTGTGTTGACCTGGCAAACACATCAAACCCTCATGAGTGCTGGCACATTTGCCAGTTGTGCGGCTGCAGCAGTGGATGCATTTGTGGATCTGGAATGATGCTTGCATGTGCATCCTACAGTACAGTGCAGCTGCTTGGTTAAAGTGCGGTGCTGGGTGCAGCTGCAAATTGAAAACGACTGCGCGTGCTTTTCATGTCAGCAAGTTGACTGTGCTTCTGCGTTGGAGCAAGAGTCAAGGCAGTGTGATTGATTTGCGCGTTTGCTTGGTCTCCTCTTTTGCTGCCTGCGCGTGCGCAATGGCGAACTCTGATTGGAAAAATGAGTTGGAGAGCGCGCAGCTGCCCAAAGAAGGTAAGGTGGCCTTTACCATGGCGTTTAAAGATGATGACAGTTTTGAGAGCTTCATTGACCGTTTGCTGACCAAAAAGAAAATCTTGGGTGATTTGGACGATGACTGGGCTTGTCATCCGGTTGCTGGCATGCTGAGGGGCTTGTGGCGTGAGCCGGCTGTTGCGGTGGCAACACCCAATACTGGGAGTGCTGTGGGCTTGCCAGATGTGACTTCTTTGCCAGCGCTCTTGGGTATCACCGGTACAAAGCTAGAGGTGGCAACCATCCAAGAGTTGTGGAAGCGGACTTCCCATCGGAATCTTTGGATGAGCATAGCCGGCCTTGCCGGCAGTTGATTCAACAAGTGTACAATCAGAAGAAGGAAGGAGATTTGCGCTTCATACCTTGGAAGTTTATTTTGAGCGACGCTCAGTGGGATGGTTCCAAGAAGACTTGTGAGAAGAAGGAAAAATCCTTTCTGGGCTTTCTTGCAGAAGCAGCGGGTCACCAGGACATCCATGAAGGCTTTGTGAGCCCGCCCCCATTCGGGGTACAGCGGATCTTGTCTTTACGCGGCATTTGCTGGTCATTGGTGGGATGGTGCCATCTTGGCACAGCTAATGCTCTCATGCGGCAGTTTGTGGCCTTATATTCTCAACATGTGCCTAAAGAACTTGGTTTGCGTTTGCCCTCCTTAGCAGAAGCAGAGGCAGCGGCCGCAGACGCTTGGGAGAAAAGCTACAGCAGGGATGGTCTTTGGATCAAGCGCTGCAAGATTGTGTGGAAGGTTCTGCTTGGCTGAATTCCTTGTTGCAGTTGCGACCGCGTATGTGCCTGTCCCCTCATCGGACTATGCTAAGAAGCGCAAGAGCATGGATGCTCCTTCTGCTAGCGTCAGCAAAGGAAAGGGCAAAGGCGAGCGATTGCGCTCTACTGGTTCCTGCTTTCAGTTTCAATCTGGCAAGTCTTCGCGTGGTGCAGAGTGCCGCTTCAAGCATACATGCAAGCAGTGTGGTAAAGAGAGTCATGGTCGCTCCCAATGCCCGGAAGTGACTGAGGGCTAGGGCCCGGCTAGGGACAGCTCCTTGCCCCTATTAGGAGTAGTAGGGGTGAGGACCCAGCGCTTAGCAGTGTAGAAGCTCCAGCTACAGTTGTTAGAGGGCCCTAAGTGGCCGTGTCAGCGTGCAAGCTCTCCATCTTTGATGGGGGTGGACATTGCTCATCGGCAGATTGGTCTGTGCCCCATGCTGATCATCATTGACTTCATGATTGGCTTGGTGCAGTAAGGAAGCAATCTATTTCGTTGGCGGCGACTTGGAAGGCTGTGCCGCGCCTGCTACAGCATGTGGCCAACAAATACAATATGAATCTCTTTACCTCAGAAGAAATTGGCGCTTTGCGCTCAGTATTGCAAGAGTTCTTGGTGGATTTGCATGAGCTTTCCTTGCCATCTCCGTATCAGGGAGCATCAACCCTTTGTGTTGGATGTTTGGCGCGCTTTGAGTCTGGCTACGCAGGATCCAGACTGGCAATTGCCGGATATCATGCACAATGGGGTTCTCACAGGGATTGTTGCACCCATAGCGCCCTTGGGTATTTGGGACAGTGCTGATGACGTTGACGGGAGCGAGGATCATTTAGAGTTGATGGTTCACAAACATCCTTGGGCTAGCGCTTCAGCGGATGTGGCCTTGACTTGGTCTTAGACCTGGATGCAGGATTTGCATACATCCTCCCTGGAGGTGAAGCAGAAGCCAGGGCTCGTTGGGGACTTGGTGGCTGCAGGCAAACTAGGCGTCGTTCAGGCCCCCGGGAAGAAGGCGCGCCTCATTGGCGACGGGTCAGTGAGCAATGCCTTCTCCTTTGATGTTGCTGCCGCTCACAAGCGTATCACAATCACAGATGCGGAGCAAGGGCTGACTTGTTTTGCGCTGGAGCAAACATGGATTTGCTATCGCTCATGCTACTTTGGTGCAAAGTATAGCGCATACTGGTGGTCGCGTGCCAGCGCATGGATTGTGAGGACTTTACACAAATTTCTGTTCGTGCGTCGCGCGCTGTTCAATTATGTAGATGATGGGCTTGCGTTGCTACCTTCATCAGTTGCGCCCTTGCTAGCAACGTGTGTGACCATGCTTCTGGTGACCTTGGGCCTCCTATTATATAAGTTGGCGGAAGCTTGAGTTTGGGTGGGTTGGAAATTTTGCTTCAACACTGGATTCGTGTCCCTGGCCCAAAAGATTGTGGCATTGCTCCGCCCACTGTGTCGCTTGAAAGCGGAAGTGTGCAAGATTGAGCTGGAACGGTTGATTGGCCTTTTGGTGTGGTTTACACATGGTGCAGTCTGGCTAAGACCTTGGCTCAGTGAGTTTTACCGCTTGCTTTACAAACCGCAAGCGGTAACACGGTTGTTGGCGTTGGAGCGTTTTGAAGTACTTGTGGCAGCATTGAGCGATGGCTTGCGTGTCAAAGCTGATATTCCCTCTTGCGACGTTTGCAAAGGGTGGAAATTGCACTCCATTGCCGGTGGGGTTGTCACATCTTTATCTTCGCCTGCCTTGTCCACTCCCCGAATTCGAAAAGATCGGGTTTCTGTAGCGCTCTTCAATGGAGACTGCTCTTCCACCAGGTGCATGTGGCAAAATTGCTGATCAGATCTATTGAAGATCATGCTCCAATCCCCTTGCAGATATCCCCCTACAATACTGGGTTGAGTGCAGCGGATGCTTTTGCAACTGACTCAACAGCGGGGATTGGCGGATGGTGGCTGCCCACACATTGTCGGATGGAAGCATCTAATGTCAAATGGTTCAGATTGGACTTAGATCGCTGCAGTTTGCCTGGGTGGTTCAAAGTGAGCAATGGCCCATCTTTGCAGAAGTGTATCGCAGCATTGGAAGCTCTTGCTCAAGTGGTGCTTCTTTTGCTTCAAGTGCAGCAAGCAGATGCGGTGGCCAAGCATGTTGTTCTTCAGTTTTCGCAATTGTGTGATAATGCTGGGGTGACAGCGGCTTCGGCCAAGATGCTTTCACAGAGCGAACCGTTGTGTTGGGTGCTGCAGTGTTTAGGCTATTACTGCTGCAAGCATAGCGTCTCTTTGAGCTTGAGTCACATCGCTGGGATACGCAATACATGGGCTGATAGTCTCAGTCGTGGCGACATGCCATCTGGATTCTTGCCGCGAAACAGAATCCTGTTGGTTGATGATTTGTCAGTTGCTGCCATTTTGCACCAGCCCTGGCGTTAGCTTGCATGCGACCACCTTCAGTCGGGGATCAGAGAGGATTGTGGTCTTTGCAATGTTGGCGCACCCTTCGGTTGGGCTGTGTGGGCCATGCCACCCTGGAGGTGCCATCTGGGGTGGCCATGGACTGTGCGCCTTCCATTGCAAAAGAGTGCTTGCAGTTGCAGAACTGTGGCGGGCTTTTCAAAAAAGGTGCCACGCTACTAATTGAGGGTTGAGCCTGTGTTGACTTGGCAAACACATCAAACCCTCATGAGTGCTGGCACATTTGCCAGTTGCGCGGCTGCAGTAGTGGATGCATTTGTGGATCTGGAATGATGCTTGCATGTGCATCCTACAGTACAGTGCAGCTGCTTGGTTAAAGTGCGGTGCTGGGTGCAGCTGCAAATTGAAAACCCCACCCACCCACTCCATCTCCATATGAATCTGGCCAAGTGCCAGGCGGGCCTGTGTGGGCCATGCCACCCTGGAGGTGCCATCTGGGGTGGCCATGGACTGCGCGCCTCATTGCAAAAGAGTGATCAAAGCACAGCGACCCGGCGACCCGCCTGCGCTTCGGATGCCAGGGAACATCAATGGCTGTGTCAACATATTCTGGAGTCTGTAGGGGAGGACGACTTGTGGCGTATCTTCGTCAGGCTCAAGGCCCGCCCCAATTCAAACACACGAGCCTCCCGAACCCGGCCCTTTTTCCGAATGGTTTGTTGGGTAGCTGCTCGCGCAACAAGTAAGGGATGAGGTCATGGCAAAACCAGATGGAGATGATTTTTTTCGAATCTTCATTTGTCAAGGCATGTGTGGTGTCTTTGTGTTGCCACAATTGTCCTGGGCTGTATGTAACCGCCACGGCGTTGAAACTATACAGATGTACCGTTTGCTTGTGCATTGCCAATTGAACGTGAAGGACATTCCTGCAGAGCACCTATGCACAGCTGAAGTCCGGATGTGTTCAAGGAGCTCGTCAGCATCACTGGAGCCAAATTTTGGCGTGTGGTTTTTTAGAAAACAAGAAGACAACCTAAGACTTCCTGGTGTTTTTTTCGGAGCTGGTTTTGGATTTGTTGCCAAGAGACCGAGGAGGCTGAAAGATGATAAATGCTTAAGCGAAGCTAATTGCAAAGGCTCAGGCCAGCCGGAAGGCAAAATGAGTTCTGTCGGCTGCGCGCTTCAGAACATTGAACTGTTTGAATTTGATGTTTAATGGAAGTTCAGAAGAGACATGCCCCACGTGGCACACTGTACATGGCTTGGCTGGTGCAATGGAAGTGTACGAGCACTTGTTCAAAAGGCGGGGGCACTGTTTTGTATTGGTTTTGCATTGCGTTTCTACTAAGTACTATTGTATATACTGTAAATAATTTTTGCTGGTGCTACTTTTGTGGTTGTTTTTGCTGCTATTGTGATTGTTGTTGTGGTGGCGGTGGCAGCGGCGGCGGTGGTCGTGGTACTTTTGCTTTGGGGGTGTTGACAGTCATGGCGACAGGGTTTTGGTTGTAGGCCCAGGTGTTGTTCAATGATGTGGGGTGTAGGAATACGAGCTGTGAATATCCCGGGCTATTGATTTTGTTTAATGCTACCAACGGTTGGGCATCGTACGTGCGCAAAACAATGTATTGCGCTGTGACTTGGTATCCAAACGTCAGAAAACTGAGAATCCAGCAGCAGTGTCAAGAGTATCCTCCTGCCGTAGAATGTAGAATGTTCACATCGTCCACGTCTCAACTGTGGCATCCACTTGGCACTGAGCCAGCTTCAATTGATGGTTGATTGTCACCAAGACAGTGTAAGCATATGTAAAGCATTGTGTTGCGTTTTGCTTCCGTTTAGTTTTGTTCCTATGCCTTCCACGTGGTCACCACTGTCCGGGAGGCGCATGTGGTGAATGTTAAATGACGGCTTTTCATGTAATGATTCGCAAGTTGTTTGTCGCCCCTCGCAGCCTACCCCTTTCGTCCGAATTGTCATTGCACAGAAAAGATTGTGGGCCGAGCGCAGTCAGAACAGCTCACAGCGACAAGGCAACCACAGCCACAAGGACGGCAATGTCCATTCAAGTCTATTCCACCAGTTTCACCTAAAATGCATTAAACATATTTCAGCTGATTTCCCCCAATCCGTTCTCTCAGCTCAAGAGTTCTCATTTTTGTAGTCGGCCTCAATCAACATGATTGAAGCTGTGTCCGTCTTGACTTTGACTTGAGACACATAGGCATGCACTGAGTAGAGTAGTAGAGAACTATCTACCCTTCCCAAAAATCAATTCTCCAACTTCTGCTCTTCTCCTATCCCACTTACGTATCACGCGCAGGCCCATGAGCGCGACGCGCAACTGCAACTTTGCATAATGCGGATGTTTTTCTACAAAATATCCTTTGGAGACTTGTTTGTGCATTGCGCAACTGAAGATCCTCCACATTTTCGCCCAGTATGATTCTGTTGATTGAACCTCACGAACGGCTGGCGAGCGTGGAAGGCTCAAGGAAGGAAATATTCAGGCAGTTTGTGGCAAACTCCTGCACGGCTGACAACCACGAGAAAAACCTTCAGTTGCATTTTGCGTATTCCCGAAGATTCTTTGTTGCTTCGGTATGAGCTATTGCAGGCCATTTCATAGTCGAGAAGTATGGAGCAGGTGAAATCAAGGTCAACCTGGTGTTGTTTGACAATCCATCTCAAAATAATCGAAATGGGTTGCACGCAGGGTTGGAGCATCGATTATAATGATATGTTCGTCAACGTTGTCGAGTAACACCCCCTATACCAAGCAAAGCGTGAAGCATATGAGCACTCATTATAGTGACGTTTTGGAGCCAACCACTTGAAAGCGGATGAGCATGTTGCGCTGCCCATCATGCAGCTACTGTTGTGGGAAGTCTTTTGCATGGAAGGTCCTTGGCGAGCTGCAAGCTGTTTTGGTGTGAAAGATGGACAAAGAAGAGCTTGCTCAGATTTCATACATATGCAGTATGCATTCTCAATGGTTCCAAATGTCCAAGCTGTTGCGATTCGCAGCGTTGGTCAGATGTATGTATCCTACTTTGGGGTGTTGCGGGGCCGGCTAGGAGATCCACGAATGCAGAGGTTAGTTTGCGCAGCTTGTAGGCAGAGATTTCTTTGCTTGCTGCAGTTGATCTATTTGGTCAACATACATACATGCATGTATACATACATACATCACTGCATGCATACATACGTACATACGTATATATATATACCGTTGTTAAATGTTTGAATAGCAACTATACAAAAAACGATTAATGATAAACATAGAACGTTGCAAGCGCCATGAGTTGCAACCACAGCACGGCTGCACTTTGGAGACACTTAAGCATGCCAGTGTCGTTAAAAAAGCAGGTGTAGCAAGGAGGACAACCGCAGGAAATTCCTTCCCAGTTTACACCCGCGCCCGCTCAGCTCACGGGCTACCGTTGCCTTTGGCGTTGTTCTGAAGAGCCAGATGAACAAACATGCTCTAAGAGGTTGATCCGAGAAGTCATCAAGTGTCATCAACCCCGAGGGGTCGACCAATGTACAGAATGAGCCCGTCGTCAAAGATTTTAGCCAGAGGAAGTCCAACAAGCGGCTGTAGTTTATCGGTTGGCAATTCAGTTTCAAGTAATTGGTTGCATTACGCCAGGCCCGATTCCGGCGGGTTTTCAGTCAGACGGAAGGTGAAGCAAAATGAGGGTGCCAGGTTTAAAGCTTGCGTTTCATTGGTTTGACAGACCATGAAGATATAAGGGACCGTGCAGTGCATGTGCCGTTGTTTTCTTTGACTTGCCGGGGTTTGACTTAGTTCCGCTTGCAGTGGCATTCTTAGCTCATTTACTTGGTCTTGAAATTGACCTCAGCTGCACCTTCGCAGTGCTTGGAGTCCTTGGTTAAATTGAAACAAAAGAAATAGTTTCTATGTTTGAACATAGAGCCAATTCAATAGTCTATCGCACAAAACGACCATTGATGCACATCCTTTTAGTCCTTACAAAAAGAAACCATCGATTCACATCCACATGGACTTGACACAAAACGGCTATTGATGCACATGACAGCAGGGCTTTTGCGCAAAGCGGTCATAGTGATGCACATGACATGGCTTTGGCCCAAAGTCCTCATAGTGATGCGCATGACATGGCATTTGCACAAAGCGG